AGATACTGAAAAAAGAAATTGAAGATGGAAAGACTTCCCATGTTCACTGATTGTAAGAATTAATATTGTTAAAATGGTCATACTGCTGAAATCCATCTACAGGTTCAATCCCCACCAAAATAACATTTTTGATCTTTACAGAACTAGAAAAAAATTCTGAAATCCACATGAAAGCACCAAAGACTCCAAATAGTCAAAACTACTCTGAAAAAAGGGCCATGTTGAAAACATTACTATATTTGATTTCAAAATGTAGTATAGAGCCATTGTAACAACAACAACAACCAGCAAGGTTTTGGTGTAAAAATAGATACTACACCCATGAAATAAGTTAGAAAAACTGGAAATAAACCTATGCACCTACAGTTATCTGATTCTTGACAATGGCACCAAAAACATAAAAAGAGCCTCTTTAACAAATGATCTTTAACAAATGATGCTGGGGAAACTGGATATCTACATGTATAAGACTGAAAGTAGATCTCCACCTATCATCTTGTACAAAAAATCAACTTAAAATGGATTAAAGATTTTAATATATATACGACACAAACATTGAAACTGTTAGAGGAAGACATAAGGGAAACACATCAAAATATAAACATTGGGAATCTCTTCCTGAACAGGATTCCAATTATTCAGGAGATAATAGAACAAAGGCATTAACATTGGGATCACACAAAGGTAAAAAGCTTCTTACAGGAAAAGGAACAACTGAGTAACAGACAATGTACAGAATGGGAGAAAATCTTTGCCAGATATTTTTCTGACAGTAAATTAATATCTAGGATATATAAAGAATTTAAAAATTTAACACTAAAGAATAATCTGATCAATTAATGTGCATATGCACTTGTCTTAAGTTACTTTTTACTTGTTGTTGAGACAAAATATCTGATGCCCAAAATTAGGAAAGGAAAAGTTTATTTCTTACAGTTTGTGGAGGTTTCAGTTCATACTCATTGGGTTCCAAGGCAGCGTGGCATGACAGGGCTGCCATTCATGACCATAGCAAACACCAGGGTGCAAACCGACAAGAGAGAGAGACATACCGCTCCCCACCATACATCGCATCCTGGCTCCACCCTAGGTGGGTGAAACACTCACACCACCAATCCAAGCGCTAGAAAATGAACCAATCACAAATGCTAGATTTGGTCTGGTCCATAATTGCCTGAGGCTTGGGAGCCATTGACATAAACCGTGAAAGCACTGAACATCTACTTTTGATAGAAGAAATAAGAATGGCCAATCACCATATGAAAAAATTTCCAATGTCTTTAGTCAGGAGGAGAATGCAAGCCAAAACACATTGAGCTGCCATCTCACAGTGGTCAGAACTGCTATCATGAATGATGCAAAAAGAATAAATAGTTGGTAAGGATATGAGGGTAACAGAACACTTACACACTTAGTGTAATATAAATGACCACAGGTGCTCTAGAAAGACCCCGTGGAAGTGAACGTGGGAGCAGAAGAGAATCAAGAGAAAAGAAATCAGGAGGCTGCGGGAAGATAACATGGTGGGATATAGTTAAGGTACGTTGCGTGCATGTATGAAAATGTCAAATGAAAGCCTGCTATTCTGTATAATTCATATGCACTAATAGGAAAGATCATACAAAGAGCAACACCTGTGATTATTCACTTTAAATCCTCCCCTCCCCTCAAGAATACTGTGTAATCTCTAAGAGTCTTTGGGATCTCAAGACAAAGGGCTGGTGAGAGACACTACTTTCTCATCTGGAACTCAATGTATCTCATCAGTTACTAGCTATCAGATCAATCTTCCTCGATAAAACAGGGATCAGTTCTTACTTCACAGGGTTACAGACACTAAATGATAATGTATACATGGCATCTGGCACTTTCTGATTCTCAGCAGTCAATAAACATAAATATACTTTTATTTTTAAAATTTCTGTTCTAATTCAGCCCAACTAAACTGTTAATACTTTGAATAAAAATTATACCAACAGGGAATTTTGTTCTTTATATCTTTTTTTAAAATCATCAATAGTGAAAAATTCTAATATATCACATATCTTTGTATTTTACCAGTGGATTAATGAAATCAGTGGTATCATAAATTTTTATGCTGCTTTGAGCTATGAGAACTCTAAGATTAGTGTTGGCCTTTATTCCTAATATATAAAAACTTATGTTTCATATTCCACCTAGAAATAATATCTCTCCAGTATGAAAATAGATTTACAAAACACATTTTACAAAAAATGGGGCTCTTACGAGTTAAAATAATACATTTTAAAGGATACATGTCGCCTTTTTTTCACTTTTTCATAATTTCAAATTTTATTTTGTAGTCTTAGCAACCCATAAAAGAAAATGATCCATTTTAATAAGTAGCAGACATGAGAATTTTTCTAATCCAAAATGATTTCTTCTAATAACCTTAGAAGACCCAAGTAGATTAATCTGTTTCTTATATTGGTCTAACTTGTGCAATCTGTAAGAGAAGGGCTTAGCTCTGTAAAGTCATAAAAAGAATTCTGCCATTCAATTTTACAGTCTTATTATCCTAGACTGGATATATGCTACAGAGTCACCTTCTAGAACTTCTTATTTTCATTTTGAGTATATGGAGTTTATTATAGTTTATTACTCTGTGGCAGTCTTAATCTTCCCCTTTTTGGTATCAAGTTCCTCTTCCTTTGTTAAAGTAAGGGAAATTCTCAAAATTTTGGATCCTGTCTCATTTTTTCTCATGAGATGACTCTATCCATGCTCTATGAGACTCCCAATTCTGCAATAATGTTTGAAAACTGTCCTTAGTGGGCATGTTTTCTTCATCAATTTAACAGAGCAAAAATATTGTATGAATTATTTTATTTTTTCCCTTTATGAGTATAAGAAAAGATAAACAGTGTTGGAGAGTAAAACTCCTGCAAAACTAGATATACTGAAGATATCTTTTATTCAATCTTGTACTCAACGAGAGAAAATCACTGCTATCTGTGCCATCTCTCTTGTCCACAGGCAGGGACACAATTTCCAAACTGTTACCACTTCTCAGAATTATTCTCAGAAAGGGGAAGTCTTGGTGTTTTTAAAAAAAAAAAAAAAAAGCTTTGCTTTTCACTGGTATCCACCAAACTCTGTGACTAACATCCCAGACATTTTGATAATAACCATGCAGTTCCAGGGTGTAGTAGCACCCCTCATCATGGAGTTATAAGAGGTCACCAATGAGGAATGACATGAGTTGTCAGTTACTTTTCTGTCGTTGCTGGGGCGGAATACTCAATGCCCAAAATTAAGGAAGGAAAGATTTACTGTGGAGGTTTCAGTCCATAATCAGCTGGCTCCAAGGCAAGGTGGCATGGCACAGGGCAACAGTTCATCTGCTGGAAGACAGCAAAAGCAGCCAGAGCCAAAGGAGGGGCAGAACATGGCCTCTCTCCTCTCTTGTACTGTAAGCAGCTACCAACTCCCAAGTTTGGGTATAGCATTCACATCCCCTCTGTGCCTTCCTCTTGCACAGGACGAGGATGTTTACAAAGTGATGACGCTGGCCCCCTCCAGAGTCCCTTAGCTAAACTTCTAAATTTTTCAAGATGATACAATGCATTAACCATAACATGAGTCTAAAAGAATGTTTAGAAATTTGTTATACGTGCAGTGCTTTGGAAAAAAAAAAAAGAGATACTATTTTAGAGTAACATTGGTTCTTACTTTGTACTAAGCCAACTCCAAAGAATTGTCCTGCTTTTCTTTTTCTTCTACTGTTACCCCTGCAATTTATTCTCCACAAAGCAGGTAAAGCCATTTTTTAAAAAGAGGTAAATCAGATCGTGTCTTTCCTCTGTTGAAGTTTTCCAAGGCTTCTTGTTTCAGTGAGAATTCATAATATCTAAGTTCCTCTCCAGGACCAAGGTCACCGGCCTAATGGTCCATTGGTTCATTTCACCATACTCCTGCCATAGAGTGCCATCTTTAAGAATCATTCTGTAATTTTCTTCAAATTCTGCATTAAAACCTAAAAGCAGCAATTCAAAGCAGATGAATCTGAAAAAAGTAACTAGAAGCACTGAAACTATTGTAAGGTAGAACATGTTTTATACCATGGGGCCATCCAAAACTTAGAAGTGATGTGTTTCATGTTGATATTTCACTTGAGCAATGTGTTAATAAGATTCTTAGTTTTTCTTTTCTAGATTATTTGCATCATATTAGTTTTAAGAACCTGTGAATTGGAAGATAGTAGTTTGAGACAGTTCTTTATATTTGAGCAATTATAATTCTATTCAAGAACACTGTATTTTAAAATTTGATAATCACTAGTTACCTGATAAATAATTATTGTCCATCTACTAAGAGCCAGGAATTCTCCCAAGCCTGCACGTATTTCTGCAGGGAATAGTCTTTGCCATTTGGGAAATTCTACTTAAGTAGAAAGCACAGGCCTTAAATAAATTCCTACCATTGTTCAGGTGAACAGATTAGCCTTTGTGTAAAGGTGATACTTAAGGGGAAACAATAAAGTCACCCTCCTAAAGGATTTAAGTTCCCCAAAGTTAGCAGAAAAATTAGGCATTTGATTTCATTTTTTTTATGTTTTCAGGTGTATGGCAATTCTGCGGAATTTATTTTCATGACTTTTAATAGCCCAGAATGCAAACACATCAGTAAGTGGCAAGCACGAATACCATTAAAAATATTGTCAGCAACACTCTTAACATATAGGGTTATTCTAATCCTTTTCCATTTGCTATCGAAAAGACAGCCCACAAAAGAATAATATAGTGATAAACAAACCTTAAGACTTCTTTAAGTAGTTGAATCAGAGAATACTTGAATCTCATTCTAAACTTTGAACACATCAACCATACGTTTTTGAACAAAACATTCTATCTTGGCTTACTTTTACATTTTGCAAAATGTACTTTGGTTATACTTATAAACAATGTCAACTCTTGAGCAAAGAACATAAATATGATATTTATACAAAAACCAAAGGAATACTTATAAGAAGTTCTTACCGGGGTAACTGTCGAATGTCTCCAGAATATTGTTCATATTTGTAGTTTACCACATGCCACTGGGAACTATAAAATTTACAAGCCTGAAAGAAAAATAAAGGACAATTATAAAAAACATTATTAAAAAGTCAGCTGTCCTGGCAAAAAGTACTGTAAATATAGTTCTCATAATCCCTACAGACTTGTTAAGGTCAGTGATTTTAAAGTAGATAAAAGGCTTGCCCTTAATAATCATATAATATTTTTCCATGAAATAGAAATCTAACTTCTCATGAAGGAAGAACCACTAAATATATTTATTCTATTTTGCTCCATAAGAACTGAATCACTCAATGGATCCTACCGACTATGTTGCTAAGCTCAAGAATCAACATTCTTCAGTTTTCCTTGGCGTTCCCTTTCATTATCTGACAGCCCATACTAATGAAGCATGTTATTATTTGTACATGGGCCTCCTGTTGTAATTTTACCCCATTCTTGTTTCAGCAACCAATCTTTTTCATTCTTATATCTTCAGCCCAAAACTAATTTTTTAGTTGTATTTCATAACTTCTAAGGTACACCCCTCTCCTTAATTATTTGTAGATCTTATAAACAGACTTAAACAAAAGATAATTAAAAGCTGTTTTAAAATAAAAATTAATAACACAAAATAGCTATCACAGAGTAGTACATTGTTGTAGTCAGGGGTTGGGAGAACAATTAGAATCAGGACACAGAATTTATAATATTATTTATGATGGTCACCCAGAGTAAAACACAAGAAAGTACAGGAAATTTGTCCACAACACTAAAGGCTCAGAATATTCAGCCAAGAGCCTAGATCTCACAGCAATGTCCTGTATGAATCTAGATGAAAACCCTCCAGCTCATGACAATGTTTCCTATGAGCCCAACTGGAGGTCTGGAGCTCACAAAAAGGACTCACACCAGTCTGTCTTACCAATTCGTGCTGGGAAGGCCTGAAAGTCAGCAGTGGAAGCTAGAAAGTCTATTCCAGTGGGGTGAAGGAGCTGTGCTGATAGGTTGAGGGTTCTATGCTGAAGCCAAGAAGTCATGCTCATCATAAAGACCGCAGCTGTTCTGAAAAGCACCACAGCCATCCTCAGCTGGGACATGGAGGTCCCAAGTGCCTCCGACATTAAGAATAGTGAAGTACATGCCAGAAAGCCAGTGTGATGTGTTTGTCATGGAGATTAAATGGCACACGTCTCCCTCTCCAAAGCCAGGAAGTGATGCTTGATGTAAGGACCAGAGCTCTCCCAAAGTGAACCACAGCCACTCTCACCAGCAAGGTCCCAGGCTTCTTCGATGACAATGGTCAAACTCACACTGGGGAAACTAGTCATGACGAGCTCCTCCAGGAGAACCAATGGCTCAAACAGCAACATGTAGGAGAAACTCGCAATGCTACACTTGTCTTCTCCATATCTCTATTTATGCTGGCAACTTTCCTCAGGTGGAACATCTACGCTCAGCACGGAGCTGATTTAATTCAGCTGGTGTTAAGCTGACTGTCAGTTTTCAATCCATAACAACATTATGGTGACTTTATTATATTTATTGATGGCAAATATTTTCTGAACACATGTTACTTTAATGAGCATGGATTCACAATCAGAAGTTCACTAGATGGCTTCTAACATCCTTTTCAATTGTAAAATTACACGATTTTGGGGATTGATTAGCATTACCATCCTGTAAATTAGTACAGTTAGAAGACCTGATCCTCTTGCACAAGAGTACAGTATGAAGAGCACTAAACTTATTGCACTGTGAAGAAGAAAGTCCTGTGGTTGTTACTGGAACCACAGAGGCACAGACAAAGCACTGAGCTGCTGCAACCCAGTAACCATGCACACTGCCTTTGGAGAATCAGTGGCCAGAAGGAGTGGCCAGTTGGGCAACACAGACTGGTGGGAGAAGAATGCAGGGCTCCAGGCCTGTGGCTCCAGATGTGGAGAAGGCAGGCAGTGAGGGGTGCTTGACTGTGCTGTGTTTTCCTGGCCTTGCATTCAATCAGCACCAAAGCTTTATTTGTTCAAGAAGTGCCCACATATAAACTGGGACTCCGGACAAAACAACAAGTGAATGTGGAACAAAACGGGTAGGAGGAGGGCAGCAGGAGCGCGGGACAAATGGAGGCTTTAAAAACAAATTGAGCTTATAAAAGTTGAGATCAGAATGATGGTTACTAGAGGTTGGGAGGAGGAGAGGAAAAGGAGGGATGTGGCGAGGTTTGATCAGTGGGTACTGTTACAGCACGACAGGAGTGAAAAGTTGTGGTGTGTGATTGCACACGAGGGTGACTGTACCAAATTCTGTACTAATGAAGAGACCAAGAAAGCTCGTTCTATCTGCTGCTTCCCCTCCCCTTCTCCCTTCAAATCCAACTAGGTTAAGTTTTAACTTCCTAAAGGCCATTTACAAGAAGAAGGGGGGGATGAAAGGGTTAACTCCCTAACTCCCCAGAGCTATCAGAGCTGAGCAGAAAGGAATGCCTAACTCCCCAGAGCTATTAGAACCCAGCAAAAAAGAATGCACCTGCAAGGTTGTTCTGTCTCAACGAGATAAGTAAGACAAGTAACTGTTCTGTTCTGGGCACATAGTGACTGGGCTAGGACCCTCAGTCTCCATGGTTACTCAACCCCAAACCCCTCCAATCAACTTCTGCCAAGTCCTATGCTGCTCAAAATTAACCAATGCAATCTGCTTCTGTAAACTTGCTTGCCTCCCCCTTGCGTCCTTAAAAACCCTGCACAATTCCCCCTCGGGGCCCTCCGCACTTGTTTGCCTGAGGGACCCCATGCGCATGGAAATAAACTTTTTACTTCTCACTACGAGCTGAGTCCTTGGGGTCTTCTTCCCTGCGACGCCGGTTCTTACACTAATAGATATTTCAAAATATTAGAGACAAGATTTTCATGATTCATGGTAAATGCTGGAGAAGGTAGATGGTTTACCCTGACTTAAACATTGTACAATGTTAAGTATATATTGTATATGAGTGCTGAAACTTTGGTTTACCCTATAAATACATACAGTGTTCGTGTTTATATGTATCTCTTCTACGAAAGAAACAAATGGAAAAGCAACACCAAAGAACTCCACTTCCCCTCAGAAACAGAAGCAACATCAACAACAATGACAATGACAACAGCTGCCAAGCAGATGAATGTAGAGGAGTAAAAGCAAATTCAGGGGAGCGGCACAGGACAGAGTGCATGGAGACTGTGAACAACACAGCACAGGGAGCTAAAATTAAATGTTTTAATTTGCTAGGTCCTGAACAAATTCTGCAAAGCAACAGACTTATTAGGCTCCCTGGCAAAAATGTTTTATCCTCATTTTTGACAAAGATGTCAAGGATTCTGGCAGGGAACATAAAGCCCACAGCATCCCAAACTAGAATTCCCATTATTCTAGGTCCCTCACACCTTGCCCCCACCCAGTTTTCTTTCTCTACCTTGCAGTCATTTTCAAATGAAAGAGAATGCATTTTAAAATAGAAAACTAACGAGTAAAACCCACTGTCTTTTCATTCTTGGTACATAGCTTTATGTGGTTCTCCTCTAAGTACACATTTGCATATGAATACTGCTTTTTACATTCATTTAGCATAGTCTAGAAAGCTTTCCATTTGCTTTATAAATTTTACTTTCAATACATAGAATAAAATATTCCATCCCAATTTACTGACCTGGTGGTCATCTAGTATTGAAGATCATTGATTATTTTATTTAACAACCATTCCTGAGGTTTTACTATGTACTCAGTTGTTCTAGGTGATGGAAATATAGCAGTAAAGAAATGAAAAACATGCCTTCTTCAATTTATATCATGATAAAGCCAATAAATTTAAAAGTATATAAATTGTGTCATACAGGCCAAAAAGCAGTGTCAGGGAAAAATAAACCAGGAGCAGGGTGGCTAACTGGGGCAAAAGAGATTATTTAAATAGAATTTTTAGGCACAGAAAAGATGCTACCTGAACAAAGACAGAGGAGAGGACAGTGGCTCATTCTAGGGCAACTTCAAATTTTGTGCCTTTGTAGAAAAACAATGCCTGAGTACATGTATATGGCCATCAAAATATCACCATTTCAATAATTTTCTGAGGGTGGGTAGAGTACTTACAGTAGTTTAAAGATCCTTTTATAAAAATTGCCAAATCACTGTACATTATTTTTCATTTAGAATGCACTGGAGGATGTATCCTTGAATGCATTGACTCCTCCTATGATCCTGGGCAAAGCATTCTGTTTATTTGCATCTCAGATGCAACTATTGAGCATTTAGAATACAGAACTGGGTTGGAAACTTCTGCCACATAATTCGTACCTGTGAAAACTACTGGTCTGGAGGTGTTATTAAGATATAGAGGCTTTGATTTAGGATTCACTTGTATTTCTTGCTGTAGATAGTGTATCTGTCTAATCATGATAAATATCATACTCTTGTGCCCATTTTCCACAATCTTAACCAAATCTAAGATGTCTTGGTTTTCAAATTCCTTGATCAAATATGAGCATAGCTGTGGAGGATGAAGAGTTACTTTGAGGCTCTGGCCCCCTCGTGACCTGCAATAAACAATAGCCCCCTGGTATGCAGGACAGAGACGGGACGGGAAGGCCCTCGACCCCAGTGAGGGAACATGTTCCCCCCTCTGAGCCCATACTGTACTTGGCTTTGTTTGCAGAGTCATGAGGAGGTGGCCGACCTTCAGGTGGCTAGAAAGAACAAACATAATTAAAAGCATTCTTGGGCTAATGGGATACCTCCTGGGTTAGTGTGGCTAAAAGAACTGTTTTTGTTTGTTTAACTTAGAGAGAAACATTGTAGTTGGTCACAAATCTTGTTACAAAGAATGCTTTTTCAAGATAATTGCCTGTGCTCTGTGAGTTGACCTGGTTTACTATATAAGAGCCCTGAAATAAAGACTTGATGTGCAGTTGCAATTGCTGTTTCTCTCTGCTGCTTCTTTTCTTTGTGCTGCACCCGCCCCCCCCGCCCCCCCCCCGCCCCCCGTGTCCCGACTTGGTGTGTGTGTGCCTCTTCCCGGGGTTCAGAGTGCACTAGACAC